GAAAAAGTAATTCTTGTTTTTGCATTAAAAGTAATGGCAAAAACATCATTAGTTTTAATGGCAAAACAGGAATTGCTTTTGTGCCAACCTAATATATTCAATAAATAATTGTGAAAGAATACATATTTCCTAAGCTATTTTTCTGGATGATTATCTAACAAGTTACCTCTAAGTTTCATGAAGGGAAAAGACACAGAAAAAAATCTCATTTTCCTAGAGGAAAATGAACATGAAACATGAGGTAGACATGCCTAGGTGAGCTCTTTGGACAAGATAAAGACTTTTCTAGAAAAGGGGAGGAATTCTGTGTGTGTGTGTGCGCGCGCACGCGTGCATGTTGGGGTGGCAGTAAATATCAGAATTTGGCTTTGGCCATCCTTGAATACCAGCTTAGTTTAAACTGTATTAGCCAAGTTGATTCCTTATAACCTCCTCCACTTTGGTATCATATAGGTCAGTTGGAAAAATATCAACTCTGTAATGAACACTTCTCTAGTACCTGGGATTTTTCTCTTGAGCCAACTTTCCTATATCACTTTGTTGAATGCATTTTTCAACATCTTTGTAGTGAAAATAAAATACTTTAATAAATCTTTATTTCCAAACCTGTGTTCCCTGTAGTGATGGCAAAGTTTAGGTGAGATTTACTCACCGACATGGCTGAATTTCTTGAAGGACCCCCAGTGTGTCATCTTTGCTGTGTCTTCTGCCAAAAAAACTTTCTTTACATTATGAACTAAGAAGCTCTCATATCCTGGAGTCTACAGTCAAATCCTATTGACTATTCTGTGCTGCTCAGAAATGTTTTTCATTTGTATCTAAACTTTGATTTCAATCCAAATGTTTACATGACTCAAAATTTTAGTTTGATTATAATAAATAGTTTTCACAGGATTGGAAAATGGAAGGATTCCTTAACTTATGCAGATGTATATTTAATACAAAGCTTCCTCTAAAATGTTTTTCCATACATCTTTTTGTGTTTGTTTGTTTTCGAGACGGAGTCTCGCTCTGTCACCCAGGCTAGAGTGCAGTGGCGTGATCTCAGCTCACTGCAACCTCCTCCTTCCAGGTTCAAGTGATTCTCCTGCCTCAGTCTCCTGAGTAGCTGGGATTACAGGTGCCCACCACCACGCCTGGGTAATTTTTGGATTTTTAAAAGAGACAGAGTTTTCCCATGTTGGCCAGACTGGTTTTGAACTCCTGACCTCAGGTGATCCGCCTGACTTGGCCTCCTAAAGTGCTGGGATTACAGGTGTGAGCCACCATGCCTGGCCAGTTTTTCCATACACTTTTGGTGAAACCTTTTAATACAGAGATTTTTAAAAATGAGCTGTGATATCTCTACAGTGTTTTCAAGATAGTATTCCTTCCCATTTCTCCCATTATTTCCTATTATGTTCAAACCAAATGAATCTACTTGCTTCTCCAGGCCTCAAATTAATGGCTACTTATGCCTGCTCAGTAAGATTTCTTATAAAGAATTGCATTATTCAATTAAACATGGAAAGAAGAGAAGACGCTAGTTATAATACCGTTACCTCATTACATTAGTTTGAAGGAAACAAAAAGGTAGAGAAAGGCTTTGTTAAAGGATGAAATCAGTTTTAGAAGTACAGGTAATAGGAAAGAACAGCCCAGGCACAGGAAACTTTATCAACATAGGTAGGAAAGTTAGGGAAGTCATTCAATGACTTCAGGGATATGAGCTAAAACTTCCACTCTAATTTGTAGATGATAATAGCAGCAGAAATAGAAACTACCACTTAAATACTATCATTTACTGACTTTATTTTATGCCAAAATCATTCATTTATTTTAATTACATTTAGCCCTTATTATAACACCATCTTACATGAGTAATTTTTTTGTTTCAAATGAGAAAATGGAATTTCTCTGAGGTTAAGTACTTTGCTAAAATGAGTGATAAAAATGAAATTCAAGAGAATCAAAGCTTTTTGTATTTCTACATCACAGAATTTGAAGACTAAATTTTGCTATTGGGGAATCATAAGGGTAATGCATGATTATGAGCACCTCCTGAACACCACTCTATATTGAAAAAGAGAGGTTACTGAAAGAGTAGAATTTTTCACAAAAAAAGAAATTTAGTGTAGAGAGGACAAGAGGGACAGGGCCTCTTCCACTGAGGCCCATCGAGAATATAACCAGTAACTCCTGGGAGTAGTCACAGGTTTGGTAAATCTCATAAGCAGTATGTCTGGATTTCACCAAGGAATTTGGCAAAGACTTGCATAATTTTTTGGCAGACAAGGCTGAGAAATATGAGATGATGATATAGTTAAAGTCAGAGCTGGTTTAAAACTTGTAATCGATGAGCTTTTAATAATGGTTAAAAATGAAATAAGTCTGTGTTCTAATCTCATACATGTTATTAACTAGACACAAAGACCTTGAGAAAATCATTAACCCTTCCAGACAGTATTATTATTAGTTCATCTACAAAAGAGGTTTGGAAATACATATTTCAGTGGCCATCAGTAATATATTGAAAAAGAGAAATGTAACCAATGAAAAATTACAATTTATAACTCAATTTCTAAAGAATTGTTTCTGGAATATGAAAATCTAGAATAAGTTTAGACTTCTCTACATGATATAGCTGATAAAAGATGTTCAGATTATGTTTGGTGTAGGAAAATTAATTAGAAAGTTCTAGCACTCCAGCTTGCAGGCACTAGAATAACATTAAAAGATAAACAAAAGATGAAAGATTAAAAACAAAAAATATATAAATAAGGTCTCTCTATTTGTTATTTATTTCCTAAAGTGAACAGCCTTGGTTTCCTACTCAGCATTATCCCATTTCCCCTTAACTTCTTTTTTTTTTTTTTTTTGAGACGGTGTCTCACTCTGTCACCCAGGCTGGAGTGCAGTGCCTGGATCTCAGCTCACTGCAAGCTCCGCCTCCCAGATTCATGCCATTCTCCTGCCTCAGCCTCCCGAGTAGCTGGGACTACAGGTGCCTGCCACCACGCCTGGCTAAACTTTTGTATTTTTAGTAGAGACGGGGTTTCACCGTGTTAGCCAGGATGGTCTCCATCTCCTGACCTCGTGATCCGCCCGTCTCGGCCTCCCAAAGTGCTGGGATGTTCATACTTTCTCCAAGCTTATTCTCCTTATTCCTATTGGGTGATTACTAATTCGTTTAATCCATTTGGACTGTGATGATACATGGATGGGATTGTGACATGTGGATGCCCAATCATTCTAGAAGGAAAGCTTAGCATTCTTAGATGAATTTCTCTCTTTCTCGTTTTCTCATTCTCTGTCTTCTCTGTCTCCAGTGTCATATGAATCAGAAAACATGAACTCATACTGATGCTGGAAGCCACCTTATGAATATAAGCAGAATCAGCCTTCTTATGACGTTGATGCTATAAGCAATGGACTGAAAGATATAAAAAGCAAGTAGAGAGGATGGTAATGTTGAGACACAAATTAACAAATACTGAAGCCTGATCTACTCCTGAAAGTTATACATACCTTAATAATCTTAGCCAGTTTGAGTTGAAATTCCTGTTACTTTCAGCCAAGAGCACCTTAGCTGGTATACTCTGTGTTCTTTATCAAGGCAAAGGATTATCAAACTGGAATAATAATACATGTGTGAAAGATGAACATTAAAGTTCTAGGTATGCCTGGATGACAGTGTTAGAGAATCCAGCTCTTTGGAATGAATTCAAGACTGGGTGCATCTTGGAATATGGACATAATTTATTTATGTGCTACCAAAAAGATAATGCAGGTATAGTCCCAGAATTACCACAAATAATTCTAGAAATCTTATAAACCAGAATGAGTATAAATTCTAGAAATCACAGACTGTGTGTTTCTTGGGGCAGGCAGGGAGAAGCTCAGACTGAACAATAATAAGGGTGATTTGTGGGTTCTTCTAAAGTCAAGTGATGATCATTATGAGCTAATACCAGTACCTTAAGTCAGGCCAAACTTACCTCATTCCCTTTCATGAGAAGGTTAGCAAATTCACAGATTCAGTAAATCTCATAAGCAATATATCTGGATTTCACCAAGGAATTTGGCAAAGACCTGCATAATTTTTTTGGCAGACAAGGCTGAGAAATATGCGATAGATCATACAGTGAAAACCAGAGCTGGTTTAAAACTTGTAATCAATGAGCTTTTATTAATGGATAAATGCCACCATGGAGGGAGGTACCACGGGCTTCTCTTAAGTGACTCATCTTATGTGATATTTTGTATCAATAATGAAGATGAAGATATTGAAGTCATCCTTCTCAAGATTCGGAGGGCTTTCCAAGTTGGTTAAAAGAGATAGCTGACTGGGCACAGTGGTTCACACCTGTAATCCCAGCACTTTGGGAGGCCGAGGCTGGCAGATTGCCTGAGGTCAGGAGTTCAAAACCAGCCTGGCCAACATGGTGAAACCCTGTCTCTACTAAAAATACAAAATAAATAAATAAATAAATAAAAAATAGACAGGTGTGGTGGCCTGCCCCTGTGATCCCAGCTACTCTGGAGGCTGAGGCAGGAGAATCACTTGAACACGGGAGGAAGAGGTTGTAGTGAGCCGAGCTGAGACTGTGCCACTGCACTCCAGCCTGGGTGACAGAGCGAGACTCCCCCCCACCCCACCCCCAAAAAAGGCTAGTAACTTAAAAATAAAAGGGTTCTAACTCTAAAAGGACTCCATTGACTTCAGTGATTATCTTGAGATAATCACAAGAGACCATTTTCTAGCTGTAATGATTTTAAGAACTCAGATTTAATAGGAAAACATATCTTCCCAAGAACAAGATGGCTAAGATAATATACTGAAAGCATGTAAATATGGTATACATATCTGTGTACCTATTATGTCTCTGTGGACAACTTTCAAAAGAACACAAATACATATGGATGACAAAATTGCTAGGTAAGAATTTAATCAAAACCATAAGGCCCAGAAATTGGCCCATGTTTTTTTTTTTTTTTTTATGGATCTAGAAAAGCATTTATTCACTAATATATTTTGTGTTCTCTAATTTAAAATTACCTTTTCATTTTGCTTGATTTTCCTTCAGCTAAATTAGAACTTTGTAGTTTTTCCCCTAAAAAATTCAATGGCATTCTCTGATTTTCTTGTCAGCCTGCTTCAAGGAAATCCATGTGTTCAAAATGCTTGCTCGCAGTTTGCTCCATACCAAATGGTTGTTTAATCCAAATATCTGAGCAGCAAATTGAGCTGATCCTTCTGGAGAAAGTATGGTTGAACAGCCAAGACCACTGGGCAGTCGAAGAGAAGACCACACATCCTGAGCTCCCCAGTCTGAGGGGAGGACAGCTGATAACTGGATATGCAGTGTTCCCAGACATCACTGGTCCCAAACCATTACTTCTGCCTGCCACTGCCACAAATACAGTAGGAATGCCATCCCCTTCATACTCAGCTTTAATCCTCAGGGTTTCATCTGGTCCTTTATGCGCAGATGTTACTCGAAGTTCACATGGAATGCCAAAATTTCCACAGGCCTTCTTGATTTTTTCACAGTGACCAAGATCAGAAGTAGAGCCCATCAACACTACAACCCTGCACTGACTTTCTGATTTCAAAAGCAACTCTACTCTCTCTGCAACCCACTCAAAGTTTTTCTTTACCATTTGGAGCCCTTCAGGAGTTACTTCTTTGAGGTCCCGATAAGACTGTTTGTCTTTCTGTTGGCTTCGATCTCCTGATGGCCAGAGTCTCCAGGAATCATTGTCAATAACATCAGCAAGAACAATTTCTTTGGTGGTTACATCAACACCAAATTCAATCTTCATATCAACCAGTGTACAATTCTGGGGCAACCAGGATTTCTCCAGTATTTCAAATATAGCCTGTGTAGCATGACTCATGATATCCACTTCAGTTTGGCCTATAACAAGTCCAGCGAAGCAAAGTTTTGCAGCAATCAGCTGTTCCTCAGACCACTGTGGGTCATTATTGGCATCATCCTTGAAAAACAGCTCCACTTTAGGTGGGTAAAACTTATATCCTTCCTTGACACCAGGATTTCTTTTGAGAAAAGAACCAGTTGCTATTCTTCTGCAAACCCATTCAATTGGAATCATTTCACACTGGGGTGCAATGAAAGCTGTCTCCCCACATTTTCTGGTGAAGGCAGTTTTAATACCTGCTTCCTGTAACAACTGAAAAATACAACTTGTGATTTTATTTGAGATTGCAGCTTTTCCTTCCAGGTGATTCTTTCTGGCTGCATTTCCTGCTGTAATCTGGTCCTTGGACTGCAGGAGGACTTGTCCTGGGCTGTCTAACAATTCGTAGACTTCTTTTGTTTTACCTTCATACAATTTTTTACCAATGTTCAGTACCTCAGCTGTCGCCATTATCCTGAGTGGGCTGAAGACTGCGACCGCGCCGGGAAGCAAGGCAGAACTCTAGACTGGCCCATGTTTTTTATACCTTGTAGGTCCACGGGTAGAGGTTGGGGAGGGTGGCAAATGTGAGAAGAAGGCAGTGACTCTAATACGACTCCATTTATTCCTATTAATGTGAAGAATTAGTTCCATTATTAGGAAGACCACCTTATAAAATTACGGGACAGTTAAAAATATAGCTTCCTTTGTCTTAGTAAGCTGTCTTGCCTTTTAAAATGAACTTCTGCATTTTGGAGGTATGTGTGTGTTTAAATTATTCCCTAATCATATGGAATAATACAGAAATTTACGTGTTGGTCTGATCTTAATGATAGATTGAGATTAAGTTAACCATATCCATGCTAAACTTAGAGTGCCAAAGATCTCTGCCAATCCCCTATTGGAGCTGTTGTGGCATTATTCTAGAAAAAATAAACCAAGTGTTGATAAAGATAAACCAAGCTTTGGTAAAAGTAAACCATACCAAGCTTTGCTAAAGGCTGCAGGATAGTGCCTGGGCTAAAAACAGCCAGTTCATATGGACACTAGGTTTTCCCCAAAGATGAGTGGAAAACCCACAGTGAATATCAGACAAAGAGTAGTTGCACAGATTAGGAACTGACATGTCTATGTGCCCACCTGTCTGAAATATTTTAACTTCTTTCTCGATCCTTTTTTGTTGAATCATGAGAAAGTCATACTTCTATGATTTCAAATAATTTGCTGTTCAGCATCTCAGAGCTTGGTACAGCTTAGAATCTCTGTATTAGAGCATGGTAATCCTTAAGGGAGGGGTAAAGTTATTTATTAGATTTAGGTTCATGTCTTTATAGGTATATTAGTGGATCATGAAGGAGATTCTAACAGGCATTTCAAAATAATTAGCTTTGTAGGATAATGGAAGACTTGGATGGGTTGACTTTTGTTTTATGCTTTACATACTTTTTAGTATTGTTTAAAGTTGTTGCAATAAGAATGTACTGTTTTTATAATTTAAGAAGTGTTTTATTTTTGAAAACTAACAAGGGTATGAATTTAGGTTAATTTTAACTTTCAAATGTGACACATAAAAGCTGACTGATATTATTCAGCTGAATATCATGCATGGAAAAAGAGAAAAGTTTCCCATAAGCTGGTCTGAGCTTATCTTGAGTGTTTTATTATTATTTAATCCTGGTTGCTATATTGTGAGGCGCGAAGTGAACATCAGAAAGTTTATATCAGTGGTTGTCTGTAGATTGTTTATATGGTTATCTATCAGAGGTTGCGGAAAAGGCATGTTAAAATTTGAGGAGGGCAGAGTCTGACACAGCATTTTGTAGCTATGTAGGCAGGTCTGCCAACTATCTCAGCCTGTAAGAGACTTTTCAACTCTGCTGGAGTTTAAATGTTGGCAAACAATTTGCATTCTTCAAAATCAGTGTAGGGGCTTAATACTTGTGCTGTGGACCACCTTAGTGTGTTCTCTGATCAAAGCAGAAAGTGCTTATGATGAAGGCTCTAGAAAGTAGTTCATGCGTGGAAAACCTAATGGTACTAAAGAGTTTCCTTCTAAAGAATTTACCAGGAAAACTTTTAAATGATTAGAGAGGCTCAGAAAGGACAGAGGACTTGCCTTGTCAAGTACTGAGCTCTCCAGCTTTATTTACAGAAGCTTGATGATATCCTGTTTAGGATACTGAAGTGGGATCCCTATTCTAGTGGGGAAGTTTCTTTATCTTTAAAGTTTTTCTGAAGATAAGATTGTTTAAATCTTCATCTGGGCCATTAGGATAGATAGGTTATTGCTTTGTCTGTCAAGCAGTCAATATAATTTGAGACTATCAAAGACACATGGTGGGAATTTTCTTTTTCTCTTTTTCTTTTTCTTTTTTAAGGCCTACTTTTTGAAGCCTGTTGGATTTCTACACTCCCGATTAGAAAACCCACATATATACATATCTTTTAAGAGTTGAAAACAAGAATGTACGAATAAGGTTGCTTTGCTTTTCTTCACATTCTTTATTTTAATAGAATTTCTAAGTATGTGTTTGTGATCGGATATGATTTAAAAGCTTTAGATACTTGGTGATGCCAATTGCCTTTTATTCTCTTTTTTACACCATTATACCATTTAATCTTTTGTGCAAAGGTTTTATCTTTACTCTAAATAATATTTTGGTGTAAACATTATACTTTTTTGTTAGAGTGTAGTATTAAGTGTTTGCAATATGCCAGGTACTCTTCTAAGTGCTATACCAGGGAGGGACCATTTCATCCTTGCAAAGTCTGTATGATGAAGATGGTGTCTTTAACCTTATTTATCATCTGTTGAAACTGAGGCACAGAGAAGTTAGGCAACCTGTTCAAGGTCAGAAAGGCGGTAAATGGTGTGAGCTAAAATTTGAACTCGACAAGTCCTGCTCTAGTCTGTTCCTTGAACCATAATTCTACAGTGCCTACAAAGTCTAGGCTCTGAAGATGACTTCAAAGAAAGCCTAACAATAATTCGGATTTTGGAGAGAAGAAAATAACATTGAAGTATATTAATTTTTTTCCCTTGTCCTAATATTTTAAGTGAGTTTGGATAAAATAAAAAAAATTAGAAAAAAATAATTAGTTCTATCACTGCAGCTTGGAGACACTGTAATAACATTAAAAGATAAACAGATTAAAAACAAAATATAAATAAATAAATAGAATCTCAGTGGCTAACCCAAAACAGGTGTTCAGGAAATATTTGTTGGCCAGGTGCAGTGACTCACACCTATAATCCCAGCAATTTGGGAGGCCTAGGTGGGTGGATCACCTGAGGCAGGAGTTGGAGACCAGCCTGGCCAACATGGTGAAATCCTGTCTCTCCTAAAAGTACAAAAATTAGCTGGGTATGTGGTGCACACCTGTAATCCCAGCTACTGGGGAGGCTGAGGCAGGAAAATTGCTTGAACCCTGGAGACGGAGGTTGCAGTGGGCTGAGATCGTGTCATTGCACTCCAGCCTGGGTGACAGAGTGAGACTCCATCTCAAAAAATTTAAAAAATATATTAATTAAGTAAATTAATCAGTACATTAACTTGTAAATGACAGTTGAGTTTCATAATACACACACACACACACACACACACACACACATGCATACTTTATGGTGCTTGAAATAGTGTTGACCATAAAAGAAACGCATGGTATTAAATAAAAAGGGCATTGCTGATATTTTTCCTGACACTTTACTAATTGAGTAATCAAGGGCTAGATGATGGAGTAGATATTAGTTGATTGACCTCCGACATCCTTTGCCTCCTTTTCTCTTCTCAATAGCTTTTATTTTCTGTAAGAGTCTCCATGAGGTTCTAGATAGGTTGACTCCATTCCTGGGTCCAAGGGTGAGGTATATAACTCAAGCTGAGGAAATCCTTTTATTGACCACAGTGATTACTTTGGACTGGGGAGGAGGGCTAAACATTCTAATGAGAATGAATCTCTGAACATCTCTTAGAATGTTGAAACAAAGGGCACTTGTTGACTGGCCGGTGTTGTAAGTGTATGAGGAAACTAAAACTGCCTGCAAGCCTTTTTTGCTGTTCTGCAGGAAGCTAGACCAAGAATGAAGTTAATGCATGGATTAGGGAGAAGCAAAGAGAAACTCAACAAAACTGATCCAGGACCTTGATGACACGTGAATGGATCTGATTCACGGTAATAAATTACACACACACCTTAAGTGTACTGTATATTGGATATTATAATTGCATGAACCAATAAATCCTCTATTTTAAAAGTTTATTTTTACTTATTATAAAATATATCAAACACGATGAGAAAAGTTTTACTAATACTCTTGGAAGTATAGCCCAGAATTAATCAACAAACTTAACACTTTGCCCTGTTTGCTTTAGAACTTTCTTTCTTTTTTTTTTTTTTTGAGACGGAGTCTCGCTCTGTAGCCCAGGCTGGAGTGCGGTGGCCGGATCTCAGCTCACTGCAAGCTCCGCCTCCCGGGCTTACGCCATTCTCCAGCCTCAGCCTCCCAAGTAGCTGGGACTACAGGCGCCCGCCACCTTGCCCGGCTAGGTTTTTTTTGTATTTTTTAGTAGAGACGGGGTTTCACCGTATTATCCAGGATGGTCTCAATCTCTTGACCTCGGGATCCGCCCGTCTCGGCCTCCCAAAGTGCTGGGATTACAGGCTTGAGCCACCGAGCCCGGCCAGAACTTTCAAAGTAATAATAAAAGTAATTAATCGTAGATGCAACTGAAGTTATGTATACACACCTTTCCAATCTAATTCCCTTCACTTACTAAATGTTAAGATTTTACTATGTTCTCTTTAGAACTTTCAAATAAATGAAAATAACTACAGAATGTGTTGAAGAATTCTCTTAATTTTTTCTTACTTAGGAATTGCATTCCTTAAGGAAAAGTAGCACAGTCTCATAATTCTTTGTAACCCCCTCTTGGGGCTTTCTCGTAGCAGGTGTTCGAAAAATGCTTCTTGATTATCTATGAGTAAATGAAACATTCTGAAAGAGGTTGAAATCCAAAATTTAGTAGTTGGTCATTAAGGAGCCATGGTGTTAACTGATGAACTGTGGAGAGACTTCATGCTGTATAATGAGAAGAGAGGAGTTACCCAAAACCCAGCCTATACTAAATGAAGCCATTCTTAATTCTCTTTCTGTGAGCTCCTGAACATATGGAGATAGTTAAACTTCTGGTGCAGGGCAGAAGAAACATTAAGCCACAGAGCAGTGAGATAGCCAAAAACCTCACGCAACTCTCAGCACAGGAACTGACAGTGACAAAACTTATATTTGAATGAGAAACAGCTCAGCTTACTAGTAATTTCTTGTGCTTGTAGTTGTCATGACGTCTGTGTGCGTGTGTGTGTGTGCATGCAATGTTTGTGCAGAAATTCTGGAAGATATAGGCCAGGCGTGGTGGCTTACGCCTATAATCCCAGCAACTTGGGAAGCTGAGGCGGGTGGATCCCTTGAGGTCAGGAGTTATACACCGGCCTGGCCAACGTGGTGAAACCTCTTCTGTACTAAAAATACAAAAATTAGCCA